CCCCCCCCCGTGGATTATTTTTGAAAACATTACCATATAATGACACTGTGTAGGATAGCCATTTTTCTCAACAACGGTTGGCTGTCTAGTCTCAGTAATTTCGACAGTAGGCCTACTTGATTAAAAAAAGAACATCCCAACCTGGGAATCAAACTTGTGTCTTCTGTGTGCAATGACCAACAGCTTAACAGCTGCACCACAGATATTTTGAGGAATCGGGTTCATAGGAAGAAGTAGACAACACAGGCTTTAAAGAATAAAGTCCATACCTAGAAAGAAGGCAGAAATTTTTACAGTCCATAGCAATGTAGCAAAGAAAGAAGCCACAGATTATACATTATCAGGTTCAGAAACGGAAGGCACAGATTTTTACTTGGATTTCCTACTTCTACTATGGCCTCAAATTTTTTTAAATAAAAAAGATCAATGATTTACACAAAAAAATCAAGCAAAAGACGAACATATAAATATGTACATTTTATTAATGTTTAATAAAATCAATGATGTTGGTGATGGGGAAAAACGGGCAGTACATTTTTTATAGGAGTTTCAAGAAATCCTGCATTTTGCCCCCCCCAAAAAAACCCCCAAAAAAAACGACAATCATGATTGACTTATTCCTATAAACGAAATTAGTCAAAAAGTGACAGTAACAAACATTAGTCACTGTCCTCTGAACTGCCGGCAGAACCAAAAATCTCCTCCTCATCTTTCCTTCCCTTGTCCTCCTCTGCTTCACTGGCACTTCCCTCCTTGTCAGAGGCAGATTTACTCCTGCTTCTGCTCCGACTTCTACTGACGCTACGGCTCCTGCTCTTGCTGGCACTACGAGATCGCGAGCGCGACCGACTGCCTGATTTACTTCTACTCCTACTCCTACTGCGGCTGGCGCTCTTACTCTTGCTTCTGCTCCTGCTGCGGCTGCGGCTGACACTTTTACTCTTACTCCTGCTCTTACTCCTGCTCCTACTCCTGCTTCCACTCTTGCTGCGACTTCTCCGGGGACTGCCACTCCCGCTCCGGCTGCCGCTGGCACTTCTGCTCCGGCTGCGGCTTCTACTCTTGCTGCGACTTCTGGCACTTCCGGCAGACTTAACGCTGGCTTTGTCCTCTTCTTCCTCATCTTCGTCGCTCTCGATCTTCCGCCTTTTCGGCTCTCCCTCTTCCTCCTCTCCACTCTCCTTATCGCTCTCATCCCTCGTCTCCGAAGTCACTGAAACAAAGAGTTTGTACAATTATGGCTCAGTTTTGAAGGAGTATTTGATGCTGTTAAGATAAGAATGTCAACACAATACATAGCATTAAGAGTGCATGAGAAAGGCAAGGCCGACAGAAAAACATAATAGAGGGAGAGAAAAAAAGTACAGACGGGCACAGATATCTCAAACACAGGGGATCCACAGATGCGTTCGACACATCCATAATCTGGGTAAATAAACATTAGTTATTCCATATTTTTATTAAAATTTCAGTGAAGAAACTACGAAAGTGCCAGGTACATCAACTCTTAGTAAATGGTACACCAGAACAGTTGACATGCTGTCTCTTCCATTTGCCCAGCGAGACAGTTAACCTCTTCACAGCGCGCCCGTAGAATTTACGGGCCTGAACCGTGTAGCGCGGTGCCTATGGCCTATAGAACTTACCGGGCTGTGACAGAGGTTGTTTGGATATCAATTGTAAGGGAAGTTACTGATAAAATATCAATCTATCTCTCAATGAAATCCCCACAAAATTATATCAATAGAAGTGTGGTTCAATGTAGAACGAACACGCAGAAATTCAAGAGGAAATATTCGTAAATAAAAAAAGAGTTATGGGAGGTAGAGTGGGGTCACCTCTAAGCAGCCTTGGTTCATGGGATTTCCCCAGGCACAGGGGCCTATTTAACTGTGGCATTGAAGAGGTTAAACAGGCAGAGTATCGCTCAGCTGTTTACAATACAGTCATAACGAAAATCAGTGAAAACTCCAGCCAATAAGTGTAATATCAAAATTTATGTTTACTGAACGGAGCAACATAACGTTTATTTTGAGAACATATTTAATAGGAGCAGTACATTACTAATTAGTCTCTGCCTAAGATCCCAGTGCTCGGGAGAAATGAAAACGTGGGATCTTAGGTAAACAGGATTTTAGTCGACACACCAAGGAAAGAATCCATGCTGACTCATGTTCAGGGTTTTCTTTTACTCTGAAATGAAATGAAGTGACCCCTGGGCGGGTTTATGATTTATGATGAGCAAAGAGAGGTCAACCCTTGATGACCAATCTTTATGACATAAGGCATGCCATTTTCATTTATTTTCCTGTCATGAGTCTCAAGATCTATATATTTATCCAATTGCTTCTCCCCTTTACTTGCCCAAGATTTATAGCCTTCCATTCCTAACCAAATCCCCCCCCCCCCCTCTGTTGAAAAGCATAATTGTGTTGTGACCATACTAATAAAAATTCAGTCTGTCTAGCAAATTCATGAGTAGAGACAACTGCTGCTATGGTCAGGGATGAGTTCACAGTTCGATGTGATCTCATCTGATACAGACTTGTAAGCCCTATCCACCCAGCGGGTAAAGCAAGTTCACGCGAAGAGCTCAGATGCGAGTGTGATGCTTGGGGGAAAACACAATGGCGAGTTCACACTTCAATGCGATTCCATCTGGAGCAAACATTGCTCTGTTTTATAGAGTTTACAATGGTCATGTGACCACATCCACTAGAGTGGCCGATCTGTGATGCAACAGGAAGTTCAATGACTGCAAATTTTCACTGCTAGGTTGATTAGCTGTATCCGCACAAGTTTTTGTTCATTTCACTGTTAGCAGAGATGCCAACCACAGAAAACCGAAATGAGTATTGGGAAATATGAAAATGTGTATTTTCAGGGAAAAATGTGTATTCCCCACGACCGACCCACCAACTAGTAAAATGTTCAGGGTGTCCAGCAATATTTCCTGAAAAAAAAATTACTAGCTCACTAGCTCGAAAAAGGGAGCACACATGCGTACAATATACATGTATCCAGTCAACAACATGTTAGTAGTTAGTGTTAAGTGTCGAACTGGGGTCTTGTTTGACTTAAGCATTTCAGTCTATTATAATATTTTCGTCTCGTTATTATATAAAAAATTAATCCTGCTTTGAGCGTTCGGAAGAGCCTAGAACAAAAATTTCGACTATCAAGAACAAGTCTGGGTGTCAAGATTTATGTTATGAACCGACAGGCTAAAATAATTGCTCAAACTCAGAGAAGAGCAATAACTTGAATGGCTCAAGTAGACCCACACAGTGTGAGAGTTGTTACAACTGTGGGAGGGCAAGATGCAGTGACACTGAAAATCTGCCAGTCTTGAAAGTTGAACAGAAAGTTAGAACATACACTGTAGGTATAATTTACTATCACTTATCCAATGAAACGCGAACACTTTATTTCAATAACACAGACTTGCAATTGTGACGGGTCCCTATTCCGCACACGGCCTGCACCAACGCGCACTTTGCAGAGAGCTCTAATCAAAATACTGAAATTGCTTCCAAGTTTTTGTCCTCTGGTGTTGCCTTCACCCCCCCCCCCCCCCCCCCAAGGGTATTTTTTTTTAAAAATCAATAATCCCCACCCCTATTCCGTAGTCCTATGCTTCGCCACGCCGTCACTCCCACCAAAGATGGTCTTTGCTCACACGATGCCCTATTTTTATGATGCGAATGCGCGCACGGTCAATGACCGGTCACGATGGCGAGCCAGACAATCTAAAACTGGGACGATGCTTGTACTTTCTTTTCCTTTTTTTTCACACAAGTGATAGCACAGAGACGAGTCGGAGTATTCATTAAATTTTATTTGCACGGCGACACAGCGTTTATACTGCATGTCACAAATGTTGCGTTATCAGACTACCGCTGGCAAACTTCTGGGTAATAACGAAAGCGAAAGTAGATCTTGATTTTCCCGATCGAGCCTCGGTGTCACATGCACTTCCGCCTGCCGCCTGTCCGCGTGAGAGTGAAATGTGCTCTCGTACGGGGAAAAGCTGAACGAATATAATTATATCACAATCGCGACCGGCAAAATTGAACTTACAGACCGTATCGGATTTGGTTTTCAGATATTCCAATTCCGCGATACTGAAACTATTTTGACAAAAGATGGGACTTGAGATAATTAGGATAACTCGCCCAAGCTGAATCTCGTATTTTTAGCATTTCAGGATGCGTATTTTTTCATGAAAAGTCGTATTCGCGTATTTTCGGAAAAAAATCGTACTAAAATACATAAAATCGTACTAGTTGCTATCTCTGTGTTAGGTTCATTAGCTGTATCCGCACCAGTTTTTGTTCAGTAAATTATGATCTGAAATGCGGGATCTTAACAGAATGTAATCCTTCAGACCAGGATCTTAGGGGTGACTTTTGTGTAGTAAAAATTCTTGTTTTCTTGAAACAGTGAGATCTTAAGTGAATCAGGATCGTAGGCAATGGGATCTTAGTTGGAGACAACTGGTTTACAGGAAATTTGTATTGCTGAAAAATTGGATGGCAAAAATGACTGCACGCTAACAAAGAATATCAGTCGGTGCACTAAGAGTTAAACAGCTGTTTACACATCTCCCTACATGATGGAATTGTGCTACTGGAATGTCCTGCAGCACAAGGTACAATTTCCTGACCAATATGAATATCATCAGGATTTCAAAGAAGTGACAAGATCTCATGGTTCCACAGCCTGACATGTACTGAATCCATACAAGGCACACACTTGTCTACCATCAAAACAGAACCCAAAACTTTTTTTGACCTGTTCAGGTAGACTGAAATGGCCTACAAAATAACTTTTCCACACAGAATTCGAAATCACGTCTTATGAGTGAAAAGTACCTAACCACTACACAATAGACACCAGAAGCCACAGAGAGCTTAGATTTGTTTACCCATTGAATGAAAAATGGAAAGGAAACACTTTGTGAACACATCCTGTTTCGGAAAGATTACACCACTTGACCCCATATATTTACCTTCAGCAGTCAAACTGGGCATTGGCTCCTCTTCCTCTTCCTCCTCACCAGGAGGCTCCAACATCTGCAGGCGACCCTCCTGAGGACACAAAACAAAGACAAGAGTTCAGAAGAGTGTTACTATTGTAACGGTAAATGTTTTTCACTCCCTTGAACACAATTTACATGAGTGCTTATCAGTCCTTTTATATCATAGCAGGTCTTAAAGGAAAATCTGTCACTAACAGAGTGATCCCTACTTTACTTTACAGTATCCGTCCACTTATACCTCTAGGGCGTCGAGGGAAGAAAGAGCTCCCTGTCTCTAGCAATTTTGATGGCCTGGCTGGGTGGGATATTGTATGTTCTCAGGGTATCCTTCACACCCTGGACCCAGGTCTTTCTTGGTCTTCCTCTTGCCTTGTACCCCAATACTTTTTTGTAGTAGGCTTTACTGGCAAGCTGGTGAGGTGCCATACGTGTGAGATGTCCAAACCACTGATTATTTGCCTTCTAATGTTGTGCAGGACAGGTGTTGTTCAAACCATTTCTCTGATCTTGTTGTTTCTGACAATGTCCCGTCTCATGATCCCTACAGCCCACCAAAATATCTGAATCACCCACTAGCGGGTGATATCATTGTCAAAACAGTGATTTTTGGATCAAATTAAAGGCTGGCCACTTTGACACTACTAGTCAGGAACAACCTAGGCTCAGTAGGGTACATTATATCCCAACAGACAGATGGTGATAATAAAAAAAAGTTCCCCACTCGCAATGACAAAGAGCCTAACCACTACAGCACAAAAGCAAGTTCATGCGGGGTATTCAGGGATGCAGTTGCAATGGTTGGCAAAGATGCAAACAGCAATGAGAAGAAAAGAGTCCACAGTGAGGTGTAAACAACATTCTGGCCTTTATGTCCCTGACCTAGTGACCCTCAGAGTACCAGCCCTTTGCGATGGCACAATCTTTATATTGATGTATGTTCCCACTTTTCCATTTGCCATAGCATTTACAAGATCAGTCCCTGTGAGTCATACTAGGTGTGCTAGGGTAATAGTATAGATTGTGAAGCGTATAGAGCTTGCTGTTGAACGGGGATTTGCGCTATACAAATGCTATTTATTATAATTATTATTATTACTACTCTTTAATTAAGGGACATAAGCTCTTCCTGTGTGTATTCTCAAAACAAGAAGTTGTACTGAAGCGTACCAAAAAAAGCAGGATATGTGAGGCATGCTGACAAAATGAGTAACTTTCTACGGAAATAGACAAGTCAAGTTTAAAGGTGGAGTTTGTAAAATTTATAAGTACGGTATGTAGTAGACATATTAAACTTGAAGAAGCAAATTTGCCCTCAGTGTTGTTTTTATCCGATATCTCCATACATGGATATCATGAATGCACAGCATATATAAAATTGAATTTTTGTTATTTCTCACTTGGCCTCTTTCCTGCCCTTATTTCCATTCAAATATCTTGACAAGTGGATAGCTAGAGAAAGACAACTAAACGCCATTGGCCGATATTTATAGTAACAGCCATCTTGTTCAACCCGTTTGACCTCGCAAGGGGGATGCCCACCGTGTCATCTGATCCCGATTCTAAAAAACAGTGATGGTTTTGCATAGAGTGCTGTTTACCCTGGCAATTTCCAAACTCCTTCCCCTTATAGATCTAGTTCTACTCCATTTGCAGCTCAGCGTCCTAATGAGTCTAATCTCTTGTAAGTGTTTAGTTTCTTGTGTTTACAAAACTTTAACGGGAGGAGCTACCCTTGGGGACCATTTACTATGTTTGTTGCCCGAGATCAAATCTAAGTACACATATAAGTTAGACATAGTAAAATCTCTTGATACCCAATTTTATTTTGGCATAGCTACAACGGTTGCTATGGAAACGGCCGCCATCTTGAAAATAAACAATGAATTTGAAATCCCTACGGCTTTCTTATTTACAGACCAAATTTGACCAAATTTGGTGAGAGTATACCTGAACCAAACCATATCAGAGTAACAGCAAGTTTTTTTCAATAAGTGCAAAAGAAAAAAAATTATGAGAATTTTCCCAAAGTATAAAAAACCTTTTTCTAAATTTAGGTTGTGTAATCGCTTGCCAAAGGAAAAGTATTCCTTTTTTTGCAAATATCTTTCTGTTACATTGATGGCAGCCTTGCCATCTATGTGTCCTGAAAGTTTAATGTCTAAAGGATGAAAACTAAGGAAGGAGTAGGGAAAAAACTGCACAAAAATTACATTTTGCGAAAACCTACAATAATTGTGAAAATTCACTATATTAATCCATCCTCATGTTTTTAAAGGCAAATTACCTGTAGAATAAAGTCTTTCTCAATTGTATCCATGCTATTTTAAGACAAAAAACTGGTTGATTTAAAAAAATCAGCCAACATAAAATGTGCATAGCCTGACCCAAAATCTGCAAAATCAAGGGTCGCTCCTCCCCTTAAAAGAAACGACTCGGACTGAGACAGTCGATCATTTGCACTCCGTAGTTGAACCTTGTTCGAACTTGCTTTCGTATCCAAATTGACGTAGGCCTACTCTTAGTCTTCTTCTCAGTTTATGTAGTGTGCAGCATCAGAAACAATCTGAGCGGAAGAAGGGCGCTGCACAATAATAGACAACTGAACCGAACAGTTCTGCAAGTTGCAAAAAAAAATAGATCTAATCCGAGTCGGCAGGCTGCCATCGTGTGGCATGACTGACAAAGTGGGAATCCTTCAAAGACGTTAAACAAGATGGATGTTACTATAAACATCGGCCAATGCCGTTTTGTTGTCGTTCTCTAGCTATCCGCTTATCTTGCCCAACTTTTATATTTTAAAAATCCATTTTACTAAATAAAATGGTAGTAAAGGGCATGGGAACAGGAACTTCATTATTGTCTCTCGCAGAAGGTATCCAAAGACAATTGCAAGCCACCAATAGTTTGAATGAGTGAAAAGAAGCACATTGATACAATAACAGTCATTTAGTGTAGGGAAAGAGGAAGACAGACAGAAGCTACAGAAAGAAACAAAAGAAGGGCCAACCAGCGGCCCCCTTAACACATTACACCCTAAGGGTCTGAGCAGGAAGTCTACTCCTAGATCCTAAGCAAGGGGAGGCTACACCTGTATGTGTGACTATATGTCTTTTTCAAAAGCATTTTAAAAATATTAAACAAATTCAAAAAATTCTGGAAAAATAAGAATAAGAAAGAGAAATGGATGTAGTTTCAGAAAAATACAACTTTATATGTATTTGAATGAGTGATCTGTAATTTAAAAAATCATGAAACATGAAAATGTCAATTTTTGTTGAGTTTTTCACTCATTGTTCACACAGCTTGGGGATTTTACTACTCACTGTTTGTCTTGTCTTTTGTGTATAATCCATTTATAAAGGTTCATCCAACTCTAGAGATCTGTGGTAAGTTGTAAAGCAACGTCCTTTGCACAGGTGAATTCCACAATACGTACATCCATAAACAGTCTCTACACCACGACCTTTATTGGTTTTCCTTTTTGCTTTGGAACACACATAACAAGTCTTCTTTCTCCCTGGAATCTTCACTAACTTGTGCTGTTCATTGTTTGGATTGGCTCGTGCAGACACAGAAGGAGATTCTCTGGTATTGATGGTAGTAGATGAACTCGGTGTTTCGCGAAGTAAATCCTGCAGTAGCGCAATGCGGAAATGCAGGTGGTCAGCTCCAGGAGAACGACGACGGGCGTTGGGGTTAGCTCTTCTCATGAGCAGAAAGGCATTGATAATAGCAGTCTGAATGAGGAACCACACTCCATATCTCCACCATTTCTTCCCTGGCCGCCCAATATTGTAGTATGAGCGGTATTGATCCGCTAAATCTACACCACTCATGTTCTGGTTATAGTCGTGAACCGGTGTCGGGATGGTTTGTGGCACAACACCCTCTTTGGTTCTGCGGGTGACGTCGGTCGTTGTTGGATTACAGCAGGTTGACAGAACATTTACTGGCCTTTTGTCATGCCATTGCGTGGCCACCATAGTTCCCCTTTGCTTCATGTTGAGGGTGCCTTTCTTTTGTTTGTTCTTCGTGGGGAAGGGCCAACCTTTTCGATTTGTACGAACAGTTGCACAAGAGTACGTTTTCTTCTTCAGCAGATCCTCCGCAAGTCTTACAGAGGAAAAGTAGTTGTCAAAATATATACAGTGGTATTTGCCCAAATAGTCAGCAGCACAGTTCATTACAACATGGTGTCCAACTCCATCTGTCATAGGTTCATTTATTTTTCCAGTGTAGAACCTGAAATTCAGCATGTAACCGGTTTCCGCCTCCGCCACACACCAAACTTTTATCCCCCATTTTGTCGGTTTGTTACGAATATACTGCTTGAAGTGTAAGCGTCCATTGAAGCCGATCATGGCCTCGTCAATGCTTATATTGCGGCCAGGTTTGTAGGAGCTGCCACATGCAGTACGTACGGTGTCAAGAAGAGGTCGCAGCTTGAATAGCGGATCGTAATTTTCTTCACCACGATTTGGCATCTTTGTACTGTCATTCAGGTGAAAATATTGATTGATTTTCTCAAATCTCTGCCTGCTCATTACATCAGCCACAGCAGGAACCCTCAACACTGGGTCTACTGACCAGTATAATCGAGAATCTGGCACATGGTGTATCCCAAACATGATGTTCAAATACAAGAATTTACGGATGTCGCTGACTGTCACTGCCTTCCAGTACGTGTCACGTTTACCTTTGTTGTTCTGGCATTGTTCTGCATATAAATTTGTTTGTACAACAATCTCGTCCAGAAATGTTGGAGGCACAAATAAATGAAAAAAGTCAATTGGCTTCGAGTTTTCATCAAGATTGTGGAGGGGGCCCACAGGTTCTTGAAAAGGTTCCAACCTCACATCTCTCAGGGTTTCCGACCATTCAGTACGCTCATTCTCAGTCTCGTGGTCGGACTCTGGATCTAGATCTACGTCCGATTCATCACTATCAACTTCTGCAATAACGTTTTCATCTATATCTGATTCAGCATTTGTTTGTTCCGACTCAGATCCATCACTAGATGATGTTTCAGGCTGCGCTCTGTTGTTTTGAAGCTCGTTCAACCAGCCCTGGAGCGTCTGAAAAGCCATCGCGCTTCAATCGCTCATAACAAAGAAACTACTGGTCCGAAAAATTTCGTTTCGGTACCAAACAAAAGAAGAATCATTTTGCAATAACCATAAAAAAAAAAATCTCGCACACGGCGTCTCGTTAGTTCGAGACTTCGTTTCTAAGGAAGCGTGGTGCAATCGGGCGGTTCCGGGCGAGTTAGGGTGGAGCGCGTAAGGGAATTCCCGGGCGATCCCGGGCGAGTTAGGGTGTAATGTGTTAAGCTATGTGCATTTAGAAACATTAACTCTTTATCTCCGGCAAGCCGCTCCCAGTCGGAACCGCCATGCCGGTGAGCCGCGGGCATATTCCTTTACGGCGACTTCGACATCAAATTACTTTTCGGTAATTGCCGAAAACGGGTCTCTTTTACCGGAAGATCATTCATTAGATAAGATCTATCAAAATAGGTGTACTAGTTTCGATATGATGTCCCATTTAATGATGTTTTTGTCATTTTTAGATTTAGCACCAAAAGAGGGCCCTGACATAGTGGGTTTACCCCCCTCTGAGATAAAGAGTTAATACAGAACATGAAAGACAAACCTGTGCAGCCAATTCTTTGTCTGTCAGAGGTCTGTGTTTAACAATCAATCTTGATCTCAGCTGAGCATTGGCAACCGTTTTCCTCCTCTTGCTAAGTCGGACCCTAAACAAATTATACAAGACAGAAATCAACAAAATGTGAATTCTATCACATACAGTAGATTCAATATAAAAACCTAGCAATCAGGAAACGGGGAAAAAAAGTGGGACTTTAAAAAAGGCAGAATCTAAGCCAGACGGCTGAGAAAAACCAACCCATGCTTATTAGAAGAATCTCCCCTTCTTTTGAAACCGACAGGAATTCCGTAAACAATACATTTAAACACTTCCATCAAGAATAGCTCATGGTATGTTGTCTGAGCAAAGGACACATCTGTCATCTCGTGACACTCTCTCTGTAAGTGCTGTGAACAAAACTAGATGTAAATATGTTGTTGTATTCTAATAACACAGCTCTTCATATACACAAACTTCACCTTGTCTCCAGTTCATTGTAGAAAACTCCATCCTCTCTTATGACGAAGAAGTATGTCTCTTCGTAGCCCTTGGACAATTTATTCTTCACATTCCAGTTGTACTCTCTTGCCAGCAAATACTCATACCTGCACAAAAATCAATAAAAAATAAATATATGTGATCAACTCCCTCGCACATTTCATGAGTCACGTTTTCTATCATTACATCATAAACACAATCGAAAAAAAAAAAGATTTCTGAGAAGACAATGAAAAACCCGTTTCTCTCATTAACATTTTTGTGTTTTAGTAAGAGCTTTCCAGCACATGCAAGACATATAAGTCATAAATGCCAAAGATTAGAGTCATTACAAGAGAGTAATAAACACAAAAAAGGAGAAATAAGGAAGGTAGATGTTTCATAGGAAAGGAGCAAATCACACCAGAGCACCTGCCAACCACCTGCATGATCATTCAGCATCTGCACTCTGCATGGATATGTGTAAACAGAGTAACATTTTCAGTCACTGCAGTTTGCATAGTACATACAATCAGAAAGTGAGAATATCTCTCCACAATGAAACTTTTTAAAAAGTCTTTTTCTTTTTTAAGAAAGTCTTCATATAATGGCTCACAAATAATGTGATATACACAAAGGAAACAATAATTCAATAAACTGATACACACCAAGCACATAATTGACGATTACCACCATGCAGCATCCTGTAGGGTTATGATTAAAGTGACTTGCTAAAGAACACTCTAGTGACCACCTAACATATTGCAATTATCCTTTTATTTATGGGTTGTTTTTTTTTGGTTAAGTGCACCCACCACTTAGCCAGCAGGCCTCCTACATGATCTGAATTGTATCAAAGTGGGCAAAAAACATTTACCGGAAATAAAAACTTCGGTTTCAGACAGAACATTTTTCCAACATATCATCATTCATTCAGTGCATAACACTGCAGCTTTTCATTAAATTTCAAGTACACACAACAGAATGAAGACAGGAAAACGTTGTATTATCATTCCTGGATCGATAGCAACAACAACCTGGATCGTATGATCAGTCACAAAGACCCTGCATCCTGAGTTCAGAATAATGAGCAGATATTGGGGCAGTAACCGTCATTTAGTGCTGAGACTAAAGCAAACCAGGAAAGAAAACAAGTAGGATGAACCAGTGGCGCTCTCTACTAGCAACCCATAATGACCCTTTGTGGGAGAAGAAAACACATGTACTAACCATGCACAATGACCCTAAGCAACAGAAGAAAAGATGTGTACCAGCCAACCACGATGACCCGAATGAGAGAAGAAAAAAATAACAACAAATCACGAACAATGATCCTGAGTGAGGGGAGAAGAGACATTTCTTAAGCACCTGCTATAACCCTTAAGAGAGAGAGGAAAATATGACAATTATGCACTCGTACTCACGTTTCTTCCTCTTCATATTCTTTCTCACTCTCAGCATCCCGTTTTCTTTTCCCAAGAGTTTCGTCTGTTGGGAGGAAGTAAGCCACAAACTGCTCACCGCTCTCATCCACGGCTCCTCTGTGAGACAGAAATATCACATGCTCTCAGAACATAACTACCACAAGCTCTTAGAACATAAATATAACACACCCTTCGTACAGAAATATCACATGCTCTTAGAATATACATATCACACACCCTTCCTACAGAATTGTCACATGCTCTTAGACAGTGCTTCCACCAGCTGAAGCTGAAAAGTAAGGAAAATTCTGCAGGGGATCAGGGGGCGGCACAGGCCCCCAGCAGGGTCCAGGGACAGCGTCCCGGTGGGGGAACAGGGAAATTGAAATCCAGTGCTTTTAGAGGGTAGAAAATGGCATTTGGGAGCCTGTTTGAAGATATTGCCTACAGCCCATAATATATTTTTTTTCCCCAACATTTTATCTTGTTTGACTTCATCACCAGCATATCTTTCCAATGCTGGAAATGTTTAAAAGCAGGTTCCCCTTTCATTGCTACTATAATTCAATTAATTTGTAGTCGCACCATTGACAGCAGGCAAACCTGGGAATAATGAATAGATGTACCTTCAAAATACGGTTGCGCAGCGTATACCCACATTTTTTCTAAATTTTCACGTCAGAAAGTCGCCTGTCACAACCTCGGAACACCACTTCGAATTATTCTTGATTTTATATGTGGTGCTCACTATGGACGATCGCCTCAAAAATGTTTTCAGTTTCAAAGCAAACATGGTTGTTCGACCGAGTCGGGCGATCAGCGCAATTGGTCGATCCCATCCGTAGTGGGCACGACCGTATCAGCATATATTTCTTTCATCGCGGCCCTTATATTGCGTTCACGTGCCGTAGAATCTTCGCATTGATAATTTCTCTAGATCTAGATAAAATTTGCGAAAAAGGTTTCTTTCCGACAGTAATTTTCTGTCTAAGATCAAAATCAGTCTTGATCAACGCGCAGATTTTCCAGCCGCGGCAACAATCCGAAGATAGACAGAAGGAATGAGTGAATGACAGAAAGGAGGAAGTTGGCACAAAAGGTTCGCCACATTTTGATCCATCTGCAGGTAAAAAGTGTACTGCCGACAAACACGCAATGAATGCATGGGACTGGGACATAGCATAGCGGTATAATGTCCAATTGCAGGAAATGCGCAAATTGGCAGGTTTCTATTATAACGTTAAATTGTTGCAGAGAGAATTACCTTAAATATCCGTACCTTATTCAAGACAATACGAAGGTGAGTACGGAATTTCGGCAGTCCTGCACTGTCGCAGTTTTTTTTACGGAGGGAGTAGATAATGATGGAGGGACAAATATGGAAATGGCAGAAAGTACGGATTTCCGTAAAAATACGGAAGAGTGGAAGCACTGTTAGAATATACATATCACACACCCTTCCTACAGAATTATCACATGCTCTTAGAATATACATATCACACACCCTCAGTACAGAAATATCACATGCTTATCACAAACACCCTCAGTATAGAAATATCACATGCTTATCACACTCATGGTACAGAAACACCACATGGTCTTACCAAAGAAAAATCACACTCTTTTTTTCTTCTTTTTTCGTAAGAGTTTTACAGCACTTGCAACACAATAAGGTCATATAAGTGCCGAAGAATAGATGTGCTACAAGAGAGTTACATTCACAAAAAAGAAGGACAGATAAGGACAATAGATGTTTGATAGGAAAGAAGCAGCAAACCACACCAGAGCCCCTGCCAACCACCCACCATTACACTCTCATGGTATGGAAATGTCTCTTGCTTGTAAAATGCAGAAATATCAGATACTTAAAGTATAGGAATACACACCCTTAAGACAGAAATATTATCACACTCTGTCAGTAATGAAATATCATGATCTCTCAGTACACAAATATCACACTCACAGTAAACAAATATCATATTCTTACAAAAACACTCTAAGATGCATTAACTCGATATTCAAAAGTAAAATTAAAAGATTATTTGAGTATTTCTTTTAGTCATGTAAGTACCAAAAAAAACACCAAAAAATTCTTTAAAAATATAATAAACAAAGTACACTTAAAATGCTCTAAGGAAAGTATAATTCATCTCTTGAAAAACATTTACTGTTACAATTTAAAATCAGATTCTTTTGAAATACACTATCCTGTTTTAGTTTTCTAACTAGCTAATGGAACTATGAAACCAGTTCTAATCTTGGAGCTCATATTTCCTTTCAGGTTTACTCAGCTTTCTCAGAAATATATAAAAAGCATACTTTTTCTGGTTATAAAAACTTTCCATGCAATTCTGTATCTATTTAACTGCACATGTTCCAATGGCTACCACTATATCAGCAGTCTGTAATAATGATTTAAATTTTTTTTTTAAAACCCCTCCTAAAACTTTAAAAACATTGCAATAAGTTGAATGACACTGTTAGTTGTAACAATTTATGTCTGACTTTTGAGACAAACAAATGAAAGAGTCTTAACATTTTGGACACAACTCACGAGGCTGAGGTAGACAAAGAATTACCAACTTAAGGAATTCGAATTGATGGGTGAAAGGAAAAGACCAGGATACTGTAGGTTTTAATTTTGAGCCATCGAGTAAAGAAATGAGTGATGAACCAAGATTGCCGATGTCTGTTTCAGATCTGGCACTTGCAGGAGACACTCCTCACTCACCTGATCATGGCCTGAGACATTTCCTCCATCTGGACAGGAGCAGAGTAACCTTTTGGTGCAGGATCAGAGTCAAACAAGACTTGAGCGAACGGATGCTTCCACAACTAGCCAATACAAAAACAAAGAAATAGTCATGACTTTAAAAAAAAAAATTCCCTTTGCAAGAGATGCATGACAAAAGTGTTATAAATGAACCATTTCTAAAAGAATAGTTTTAACCCTTAAAGTGCTGACCGCGACCCGGTCGCGACGGCCCGAACTTCCGTAAAGTGGCCGGTCGCTATAGACATTGGCATAGTATAACGCGATATACGAAAAGAACGAAGTACTAATTTTTATACTGCTAGCTAGTTGGTTACGCAGAATTGATTTTGCCAGACATTTTTCTGGTCACGGGTTTCGATCGAGTCGCGAGGAGTTTTTTGTTTCACTTTGAAGTCGAATGACAATGAAGTTGGAAAATTCGCGAATGCGATCCGTGACAAACATGAAAATAGTGTCACATCAGATTCAGACGAAGATGTTCCGTGTATTTTCCTTGAATCGGAAGATGATTTCGAAGGTTTTGATGCTAGAGCTAACACTTTGTGGAATATAACGTTGGCCTACGAAGCATCTAGACTCTGGTCTAGATCTAGAGATCTAATGAACCGGCAGTTTTTATTCAGTCATTTCCAACACCACTACAACAACAATAACTTCACAAAATAATTTTTGCTTCACATATTCATAAAGAACTTTCAATATTCTAAAACTTTTATTTTTACCTTCATTAGAAATTTTGACAAATAAAAAAGTTATTGGCAAAAAAAAAGCGTATGTGCAAACATGGTGTTTTTCCAAAATAAATTCAGCACAGAGGGAAAAAAGTCAGCGCTCTAAGATGTTGCAACAGACTGTCAAATTTTATACTTTCGCAACTAAACACAATGTAAAGAAAGAGCTTTTCTCTTATTTTTCAAGTTGAAAAGATAATCAGATAACAGTTGCAAAGGAAAGTTGACCATTTTTAAAACTCATCTACAGGGAGTGCCACACCCATCACGGATGACAAGCATATAATATGGAGAACACTTTTCTTAGCAAAGCCGCAGAGCTAGACAGCTTATTTCTGCTAGTCTCACCTGAAAGTCTGGGAACACCTCCATGACCTGCATAGGCTTCACGCCAGGCTTGCTGTAGTGTTTGAGAATCTGATAACATAAGGTGAAAGAATAGATGAGATTAAAACACCTACAGAAACATACCAAGCACAGTTTAACCTCGTTATACCGACCCATCTGATACTGCCAGTCAGGTTTTGCCAATGCACAAAAAGAACACCTATATAAACATACTATTTGCCCATTTAAACCAGCATTGGCCAACCGAGTAGTGTGGTCTACTGAAAGTTTGCCCCGCACCATCGCCAGAGGTACACACTACACATGGTACACACCTGGCAGCTGCACAGTAATAATCTCAGTTTCTTCCACACAACCTTTTTTTTTTGCCGTTCTGCTTCCTCTCTTCCTCTCAGCACATCCTACCTTCCCACCCTTGTCTTTTAGATTTTTTATTGACAAGTAGCCTCTGATCCCGCAGTCCGTGTACTTTTCAATTTGAATTTGTACACACACACACAGAGAGAGAGAGAGAGAGAGAGAGAGAGAGAGAGAGAGAGAGGGAGGGGGAGAGAG